TCCTGGTACTTTTTGGCACAAAGAGCAATCAATCACACAGGATACTGAAAAGAGTCAGAAAGCGTGTATCCAATGTTTTCCCACATGTTGTTTTATGGCAAAACCATGTATCAACTGAAGCATACTGAGATTTCTAAGACACTACTGCTGTGCTGTTCATCAGTTAGAGTTTAGTGAGAAGGGACAACTTGACTGTATGTTTTTTTTTCCGGCTACTCCATGTCAAACCACTTGGTGAGCAGAGGATGGGAATGGACAAACAACAACCATGATAGCCCCAGGTAGACTAGGGGCATTCAATGGTAAAATCTTATTAGCAAACTGGTCAGAAGAGGTTTCCTCTTCCTCACTTCTTGCTGGATGTTTCACTGCTGTGAGTGGAGGTGGAACACTGTAGCTTATTACGCAAATGTTGCCTCATGTGAAGAAAAATGGGTAAGGATTGTGCATTTTATTGGTGCTAATGGACTATTTTCATGGGATGCAGTAGTGAATAAGGGAAAATAACTACATGACTATAGTTTCTTGTCTATCCTTGCTGGAAGTTGCTGTTGTCCTTGGGCAGCCAGAAATTGCTTGATCACCTAGATTTCAAGCCAATGCTTTGTCTTTTCATGGGTTAAATGGAGGTTTCTGGCATTCACACATCCTGAGATTCTTTCTGGGAAAGTCTAATGTAAAAAACAGATATTCAGGTGTTGTGTAGAAAAGTTTGTTTCACATCTTTGATGTGATTCAGTTGCAACATGGCCTACATAACTCAGTAATCTCCTTGCTAGATTTTTATTCTGTTACAAAGTTAAGATATGACTTTTGATTAAATATTAAGGCTGAGTTCTTATGGTGTCTCATCTGCCTAAATTACAATTTGTTGTTCTGAGCATGTAATGTATAATATTTCTTATTTTCTTCATGGTGTTATAATTGTTGTTGCTATAGGTGATGCAAAATCAAAATTAAACAAATAAGGAAGAGAGCTACCATTTAAGTAAATAAAGGAAACCTTGAATGGCAGTATGATAATGAAGCCAACTGAAATGAAATTTAGTTTCAAAATGTCCAGTGACATCAGCATCTCTAGGGGTCATGGTGTCTCCTGTTCAGTTGTATTGGGAATTGTTGCTTCTGCTGGCACTTAGGAGCATGCGTGAATGTATAATGTGGGTACAGAGGGTAAAAGCAGCTTCCCAGTCTGAATCTAATGTTATATTTTAATGGACAAAGCTTTTCTGCAAAGAAATTTGCGAAGTTAAGAAGAAAGAAGAAGGGACAAAAACCAGAGAACTAACTCAAAACCTAAAAAAAAAGGCTGAGGTGGGGTGCTGCTTAGTATTATCCATTGTTAAATCATTGCAAAAAACTCTTTTCTGTATACATTGCTTCAGTGCTATCTTTAACTCACTTATAGAAAGTTTAACTGGTTTGGGAAAAGGGCTGGGTTAAAAACTGTTTAACGGTGAGGCCCAAAGAGAGGTGAATGGTGCCACAACTATTCTGGTCACTGGCAATGTTCCCAGGGCTCAGAATTAGGCCCAATCCTGTTTAATATTTTTATCAATTATCTGGAGTGCTCCCTCAGTAAGTTTTCAGGTGACACCAATTTGGATGTGAGTGTTGATCTGCTGGAGGGCAGGAACGCTCTACAGAAGCATCTGGATGGGCTGTATTAATAGCTCAAGGCCAATGGTATGAGGTCCATAAAGGGCAAGCACTGGATCCTGCCCTTAGGTCACAACAACCCCATGCAGGTCATGGAGTGGCTGGGAAGTGGCTAAACAGAAGACCAAGGAGTGCTGGCTGATAGCAGCTGACTATAAGCCAGTGTGTGCCCAGGTGGCCAAGAAGACCAATGGTGGCCTGGTCTGTATCAGCAATAGTGTGGCCAGCAGGAGCAGGACAGTGATTGTCCCTCTGTACACTGGTCAGGTCACACAGGACTTGTCCTGTGTCCAGCTCTGTGCCATACACTACAATAGAGAAATTGAGGTGGTGGATTGTGTCCAGAGAAGGCCAACAGAGCTAGAGGAGGGTGTACAGTGAAAGTGCTATAGCTAAGGAAGCAGAAAAGAAGGCTCAGGAGAAACTTATCACTCTCTACAGCTCCCTTGAAGGAGGTTATAGCCAGGTGAGGATTGGCTTCTTCTTCCAGGCAACCAGAGACAGAATGAGAGGACCTAGCCCCAAGCTGCAACAGGGGAGGTTCAAGCTGGACATCAGGAAGAATTTCTTCACTAGAAGGGTGGTTAAGCATCAGAATGGGCTGCCCAGGGAATTGGTGGAGTCACTGTCTCTGGGGCTGTTCAGTAAATAACTGGGTGTGGCACTTAGTGTTATGGTCTAGTTGTCAAGGTGACAATCAGTCAAAGGTTGGACTTGATAATCTTGATGATCTTGAAGATCTTTTCCAAGCTAAATGATTCTGTGATTCGCTGTGATTCTGTAAACACTTGTACAATCATCTATTCTTATCTTTGATCTGTGCAAGTGGACTTCAAAACGTATTTGCAAGAGGCCTGGACATTTCTCTTACAAGAGTTATTGACAAGGATATTTTGGTACCTGTTTTCTCAACTTGCTTTGCTGGTTCTGACATTTTCAGTTTTCTCCTTTTCTGCAGAACTATTGCTGCTCCTCAGTTTTGTTACACTGGCTGCCAAGTAAATTCAGGCTAGTGTCAGCATGGAGACCAGCCAGTATACCAGTCAGAGGTAGGTTAAAACCTTTGATTCCTCTTTTAGTGCCAGGTATGCACTATCAGCCTGTTTCTGAATATATGATAGGGGAGCCATGTGGGCCAGATGCCTTCTCACAGCCCAGTCCTTTTACTCCCCTGCAGTAAAATAAGCTGTAGTGCGTCTCTTTGATCTCTAGCAGAGAAGTGACTCCTTCAAGATGCAAGGTAAGCATTCAGCCACTATTCTTAAAAGGATTGCCAAAGGTGCTTGTCTAGGTCTGACTTTGACAGTGTATTCCTTATTCACTGTCTAGGTCTGACTTTGACAGTGTATTCCTTATTCACCCAAAAGAGTCATAGTTAGAATGTGTCCCACAAATACAGAAGGAGACTATGTGGAGCAAGACATAAAGTGTCTCTGGGTCTTGCTGTCCTCACTTCTGTTAAGAGGTGCCATATGCCATGTTAAGTCCATGCTGAAATAAGTAGGCTGCAAAAAGTAGAACATTGCTAGAGGCAGGGAACAAACACTGATTCTGAAAAACTGAATACTGACTGAACTCAAGGCGATACACAGAATGCTGACAGCTCTGCAAAGCAGTACTCTGCAACAGCAAGTGGTGATTTCCATCACCAGCACACATTTCACATAGATAACCAAGAACATTTTTGCTCACAAATCCTTGCAGTGCCCTAACTGCAATCACTTCTTATGAGTCATTCTAAGGGAATAGGGGAATACCGCAACTCATAATTAATCCTAAAAGTACATTTTTTCTAGGGTGATGCTTTTGGAGACTATTTCTTTTATTGTGTCATTTTATATGAAGAAATCAGCTGAAAATGTCTAGAACTTAGGTGAATTTTTGCTTCTAACATTGATTTAAACATTTAACATTAAATGTCTGCAGGGCTAATAGATTACTAGTTAAAAAAAAAGACAATTACAAGGGAAAGGCACATGCAAATGTCTTCAAGGGACAGTTCAGAAACATTTTGTTTTATCCCCATTTGTTTCTTTAACTGCCCACATTAAGGTACAGTAGAGTTTTGGACTTCAGTGCAGTGGTTTTTATGTCAACAAAAATAATTTCCCTAGTGTTAGAATTTAGTCAGGGGTTATTCCATTATACTGATGTTCTACAAATGTCATAGAACAAAGAGTATTCTTATCAAGCATGTACATAAATCTCCAAATATCTAGTTCAAAGCATAAAGAAAAGGAAACAAGAAAATCCAACTCTAAACTTAAAGCCATGTTAAGTGAAAAAATTCTAAGTACCCTTGCAACCTCCTCAGTTTGATGACCTTAAATGAAGCAATGATGCAACCAATGATCAACTACTAAAAAAAAAAAAGATTCTCAAAACTGCCTAGCCTTGGGTCCTGCATCGGTACCTCTGGGGAACACAGCTGGATTTTACAACTTTTGGCACATTTCCCTTGATAGAAGTGGGAGAATTTTTATCCTGCTTTTGAAATCTCTGCAGACTGTGGATACTAATTTTAGAAGCACCTGCATCCTGTTATAGGTCAGCCTGACTTTGGTTTCAAAATGCTGAAATCTAACACTAAGATTGAACACAGGCTCTTAAATCACATTAATCTGAATGTTCTGTCTTACAATATTTTCATATTCATCATGGTTAAACATAGATAAGGTCATTATCATCCTTACTCCAGATTATGCCAATCATTTCAAAATGGTATTTGCTATCAACCATGAATGACAAACCTATGGCTCATAACTGGTGGAAAATTTGAGAGGTGGCTGAATAACTTTGTATCTTGCAGTTGCTGAGGATTTAAAAATAAAAATGATGGTATTAATGATAAAGAATAAAATTTCACTTCTCAGTCTTTTAAGGATTTCTTTGGAAACATAAAACGAACAAAAGCTTTTTTGTACTGAACTAATGTTCCACTTCTGTCTTCTTTCCATTAAAAAAGATTCCTAAAATCTGGAAAAACTTGCCCCTCTTGCTCTAAGATACTGCCCCTGAAAGAAACATAACCACATTGTAATTAAAATGGCATCAAGAATAGCTAAGTAATCTGTTCTTGGAAATTAGCTTTGTGTCTTTGTGTTATCTACAAATATACAAGATGAGAATGACAGTGGCTAGAGGTTCATTATATCTGGCAGTATGTCAGCCTTTTTGAGGCTATCATGTTTTAAACATTATTTTAGTATTATAAATCCCCATATTATGCATGAACAACTGTAGTTTACTTGGCATTGGAGAAGAGTTCATTCCTAGTAACAGAGTGTTTGTGTGTTTTAATTCACTTGTATAAAGAGTAAGATGACCATATTTCCCAAGGAGTCTGCAGAATGTATTATGCTCTTTATTTAGCCCAGTACACATTAACATTTTAACAATAGCTTTGAAATTAATATAAGGGCTAACAAAACTGATTCTCTCTCTTCAAGGTAGAACTCAACTCCTCCATGCCAGCATTGACTAGTGGGTTGCCTTCCCTGTGTGAGATCCAGGGCTGTATTACAGTAAACTGGTCCAGTGTGATATCACAGATATAAAAATATTCCATTCTGTATCAAAACTAGGCACATGCCTTATATTTATATGAAGAGTAGGTCGACAGAGTTGAGCGGTTTTGCTCTCAACTATTCAGCCCTGGCCTTTTACATGAGGAGAAAAAGATCTTATTTCTAATTAGGAACTACAAGGATCTAATTTGTGTTTTTATGGTAGTTAAAAGATGGGTGACATCACACTTGGGTCAGTATTGGTGGATATCTAAAAGTACAACCTCTCCTTTGTATTGCTTCAAAATGTACACAGTATAGATGTAGATTAAAAAAAAAAAAAGCTACCGATTCTTTTTTTTTGTGTTGAACCAACTAGAAGGGAGGATGCAAAGTTTTACCAAATGAGATATATGGATACAAATTTCATTGTAGAGTGTGGTTTAGACAAATGTGTCTTTTTCTGTAAGTATGTAAATCCTACACTGTAGGGTTTTTTTCTTTTTCCTTTTGTAGCAGTAGAAAATGTTGAACAATTGTCCATGAGCATGAGCCAGTGGTTCATTGCTGATATCCCCAGAATGCCAATATTTGCAATGCAAACAGTTAGTACAAGTTTCCAGTTCTATGAAAGGCCCTGACACATCTGCCTCAAGGTCTGGAGGCTCTCTTGTATAACCACAAATAGTCTTTCCATTTTCATATAACCTTTTGATACACTGACAGCTGCATTAAGCTCCTTCTGCCTAGCAATTCCACATGCCAGGCTGTTTTAATTGGTTTTTTAATGCCACAGGAAAAGCACTGCTAGCAGAATACCATCAAATCATTTTCATATTGAACCTTCGTGGTCCAGAAACCTCCCCTTCAACCACAGCACCATTGTTTTTGCGAGGGACATATTCAAGGTCAATGCTGGTTTTGTGTTTTCCTTTCCCTCGGCTCCACACAAAAAGAAGAAGGAAACAAAATAAAACCACTCCAAGGAATGTGAAACAGCCCATAGCTGTGGACACCAATATTGTCTTAAGGTCCAGAGAGTAGCTGTTTGCATTAGTTCCATTAGAACTTGTGTCGTTGGAGTCTGTCATATACATAGGGGTCCTGTTGGCATAAAGGAAACGATCTGAGGTAAACCCCTTTACTGTCAGGGAGGCTGAATAGGTGTCATTCCCAGCTGCATTACTTGCAACACAGACATAGATCCCAGTGTCCTGGTCTTGGGCAAATCGGATCTCCAGGGTGCCATCTCCCAGAACAGTGGCTCTACCATTTGATTTAATTGTGATCAACCTCCGGCGTGGGGTAACCCAGGAGATGGTTGGCTGTGGGTCCCCGTCAGCACTGCACATCAGCTGCACGGTCTGTCCTTCCTCCACTACCAGGTACTGCAACTTCTTGTCTTGTATCCTGGGCTTCTTACAGGTGAAATAAAAGGAAAGAGCTGTGCTGTGAAAGTCTCTGAATGACCTCTCTCTGACACTGTCTGGGCCAGCACACATTGGTGGCTCACCACCAAACTGCAAGGTGGGCTGCCGCTGCAAAATCCAAAGAAGACGACAGTCACAGGCCAGAGGGTTATTGTTAATGCAGAGTACCTCAAGGCTTTTGGAGGAATGGAATACATTCTCTTCTAGGGTTTCTAACAGGTTTTGGGACACATTAAGCACGCGTAAGAATCGGAGCCCTTGGAAAGCATGTGGTTCAATGGTGCGCAGCTGTGCCCCCACAACGTGGAGCTCCTGCAGGCGCACTAAATCCGACAGCATGCCTGCCTCTATGGTGCTGATGGGGTTGTAAGAGAGGTTGAGATGTGTCAGGTAAACCAGATGTTTAAAAGCAGAGTAAGGTACTGCAGACAGGTTGGTGTTTGTGATGGAGAGAGAAGTCAGATTGAGGCCATACAGACTGTTGGCAGGCAGCATGTCCAGGAGAGGCCAGGCCTCTATCTGCAGGTCTTTCAGGCGAAACAGTCTTTTAAAGGCATATGCCGGCAAAGCGTTAATATTGAGCTGTTTCAAATGCAGGCTGATGAGGTTGTGGAGGTGAGAAAGAGCTTCTGTTGGTACAGCTGTGAGGTTGCATCTCTCCAGGGTGAGCTGCTCCAGGCTAAGCAGCCCACTGAAGGCCCTATGTGATATATACACCAAATCATTGTCCCCAACCTCCAGAGATTTTAGGTTATGCAGATCTTGAAACATGTAGTCCAGCAAAATGACAATCTTGTTTTCACTTATATCAAGCTTTGTTAAGTTTGACAACCCAGTGAACACCCCAAGGGGGACCAGCTTCAGACGGTTTCCTTTCAGCCTCAAGGAGCGCAAGTTGAAGAGATTGTTAAAAGCTCCAGGCTCCACATTGGAGACAATATTGTCGCTGAGGTCAATCTCCTCCAGCAATGGGTATGATGTGAATTCCTCAGGGTTAACATTTTTCAGTCGGTTCTTACTGAGGTCCAAGATTTTGGTCTCAATGGGAATGCCTTCTGGGATGGACATCAGACGTCTTCGGTGACAGCTGACAGACTTGTTCTGTGCTGAGCATTCACAGCGGGCTGGGCAGCCTGCAGTGGGTCTTGTGAAGACAAGCAGCACAGCCAGACCCAGGAACAGCTGCCAGCATGATAGAGCTGTGTGATGCATGACTCCACTGATCTGGGCTAACCCTCTGTCACGGGCCTGTGGGGTGAGGATGGGAAAGGGGAGAAGTTAAGTCTGCAGAAAAAGAACCATACCATTGCAAAGCAAATGCATATGTTTTCATATTGAACAAATCAATAAAACCTATTGTGAATAGCATGACACATAAAAGCAGATTTTACTTCAATATCATAGGCCTAGTAAAAGGATTTGTTTATCCAGCATTTTCACCCAGATGTTGCTGAAGACAAAACAGCTTTTTCTACTGCAAACAGTAAAAGACATTTCAGTCTTTTCTCGGTCTCAGTAGGTTTCCTCAAGACAGAATTATAATTAACCCAGAGATAAATACCATACACTATGCAAAAAGGGCTAATAGCTTTTGCAATAAATTTGCAGCATTGGATTTCTGTGAGGTGATATGAAACTAAGCTTTTGTTCCCCCCCACCTCCATTAGTGTTTTAAGGCAAACCTTAATGATGCATTAGAATCAAGAAAAGGAGCTCCTTGACAATGAAAAGATTCCTTTTATCATTTATTGCATATATTACAGCTATAAAGAGAGGAAGGTTGTTCATGCATACATATACACAATGGCTCAGATGAGGAAGGAAGAACTGGTGCATCTCTGATTAGAATTTATAATAGGTCAAATTGATTCTTTGCTTTTACTCCACAGAGATATTTTGTGTGACAGTTTAGAACCCAAGATCCGAGAAGAGTTTACAGAATGCATTTTTGTGCTTCCAAGACATATAAACTAGTTTTAGGAAAACAAAAACAAAGTAAGATGAACTGTCTGTGTTTAAGCAATGCAGATTTAATTAAAATCATAGTTTTTAAAGGATTTATTTATTCCCACCTTCAGGTTAAAAATGAGGATAGAAGAAGACAAGATAACTTCTACTAAATTAGCTAGTCTTTTTCAAACGTTGTACTTTTCGGGTTTGGTCATCAAAGGCAAGAGACTTTTTCTAAGTCTACTTAGAAGTTACTAAATGAAAACAAACAATAACCCATTTCAAAAGGAAAGGTGTATTTGAGATGTTCAGAGTAAAGCAAACTGCAAGCAAGGACTATAGAAGTGCATTTGCTCCTGTGGTACAGCCAACATGATGAAGCTAAGGTATAGTGCTGGGATACAGACTTCATAATATCAATAAGCCTTGTAATGGGCCTCAGGCTTGTGATGTCTTTTCTGCATTGTTTAATTTGGGCTTAATTTTAATTGTGCTTGTAAAAATGCTTACATAACTCCCACCAGTAACTACCTCTTGCATCTGCTCAGATGACTATGACCCATCTGCTCCAATGCATAACTGGAGACAGACAAAATTTTCCAATAGCCAAGAATCCACCAACCTATCTGCATCTTTGGGCTTTGAGGATCATCTGGTTACTATGTAAGAAATTTGCAAATTGCATTTGAGTAAATATTTTTTTGTCTATGTGGTGTTCACATGGATTGTAACATAAAAGAAATCTTACACAGAGGATAAAGACTTTTAAACAAATATGTTATAACTAAATTGATGAAGCAATCAGACAGCTATTTGAGCAAACAAGCTGTTTGAAACATCAAAATAGTCCTGTATAAGTCATAGACTGATAAAAAAGAAAGTTCCACCAGTAGCTCTGCTACAGGAACACTGCATTCTGCTGGTACGCAACTTGGAATGTGATAACTCATCAAATCATCCCTCCTGATGGAAGAGAGTTGGACTCAGACTGTGGAAGATCAGAACAGGGAGATTCAAGGTGCAAGAAAAAGAGCAGATATTTGGATCTATGAATCTTATTGTATCTAAAAAATTTCTAAACAGGAACAATGAGTTTTGGCTTGTGTGCATTTGTATTATTGTGACTGGATTGAAAAATAAACAGCTGTTGTGCTCTGACTGTTAAAAACTAAACTGAGGGAAAAAACCTTTATTTTGGAGCTCTGTATAAATTCTGTTCTTTGACTGACCAGACATGAATAATGCAATTACTCTTCTCACAACTCTGTGGAAGAATTTCACTCTTGACTGATGTGGCTTTGTATTTCCATTTTTACACTTCTTTGCAGAGACTATTAATGTGAGGCACATTGCATGCTGATTTTGACATATAGACTGGAGACTGAATAAAAATTATTCTGTATTATATTACCTATAAAAGCACATTTCCACTTTGTTCTAGAAGGACAACCTATTGAGATTTAGTTTCCTCCTTAAATTGTAGTCTTGCAAGTAACTATTGCTAGTTATCTCCAGCTGTGACAAAGGTTTTTGGGGATAAACTTCACTTCATTAGGCACTAACTAAAATCTGGAAACCAATAGGGGAATCTGAGTTTGGTGTTTTCAATGAATTTAGATCAGAGAGGCTTCTGGGTTCTCTGATCATTACTTTCAGTGCTCAGTCTGTGAGGTTAGTGCTTTCATAGTGATACTTCTACCACACAGGGATTTAATTTCCCACCGTATCCATCTAATAATGTATGAAGCACAGTAAACAGGTTCAGTGGAAGATGAGCACTCCTGGAGTGTTTGGTTTCAATAGTGAAAATATGAAACACTTTTTGCAGCTATCCAATCCACCTGATAACTAAAACTTCTGAGGAGTACAAAGTAGAAGTTAGACAGTATAAAAGATGATAAAAGGCTTTTTTGACTGTGGCTGGAATATAGAAAAAATAGAAAATATAGAAAATATAGAAAAAATTTTCAAAAATTAACAGTAGTCTTCTGCAAAGGTATGTGCACAGATAACGAGATAGATATATATTTATCTGTAAGGGTGTATGCATGTGTGTGTATGCAATTGAAAGGAAACAAGATTCAGGACTGAGATACAATCTGGAGTGGATATATTTTAATAAGGACAAATAATAAATTATATTAAATATCAAGTCAGAAAAACAAAGATTAGATGGATTAATAAGTCAGGTTAGAAGAAAGTATAAATTACATTTATTATTACAATTTACATTGAGAGAGATTATACCATTCCTTATGCTGACTAAATCTGTGACTACATCCTTCACTTTGAACTGCTTTGTAGAAAAATTACTTCATCTTCATTATGCAAAAAAATGTAACCTTATCTCCAGCTAGGTCTAGCAAGTGAAAATTCTAATGTGAGACAAGGTGAATTTTGGAGAAGCCTAGAGTGAATTTGATGATCTATTGCATATATCCATTTAAATTTAGTGAAAATAGTTTTATTTTCAGGACATGTCCAATAACATCATTAGCTACGTCCACCTTGCGCCTCCAGTCTACGAACATTTTGAAAGGATAGAGTTTCATCTGTACAGAGCATTCCATGTCAGTGTGATCACAAGTATTTATTAGTATACATCCATTAATCAACAATGCTACTTTAAAAAGAGAGATATTATGCTATTAAAAGATATTCTTCATTGTAAGATGATTTCTTGAAGCAAAAAATTATTTTCTGCATTTCTTTAGACTTGTGAGATGTTAATTAATTGGAAACTGCACTGGGACAGGGCTGAATTGTTAGTGTTAATGTTTACCATAATGCCTTTCATTCCTGCTTAATCAGCACTACATACTTTATCTTTGCCAGTGTAGGTATTCCTTCTAAACATCTGCAACACTGTCCTTTTTTGCTTCCCTCTCTTCACTGTGATACATACAAGAAGGTAAGGTGTATGCATGCAAGTATGCACACACACACATAAATGTAAACTGGAAGTAATAGTCTTACTGATCTGTGATTGTACTGTGCCTTGCATTACACAGTAGTGCTCTGAAATTATAGCTTGTTAGATGAAATTAAAAAAAAAATATTATGAGCTAAGAGTTTTTCTATGTTTGAATGTGAATGACAATGTGTAAAATTGCTTTCCTGAGCTTTCTGGGGTATTTGTCATGCTTTGACATCATATAAATGAAGGAGTTGTTTATTAAAAAATAAAAATAAACAAATTATTTTGTTTTGTCTTTCTCTGGCTCTGTTCTCTGTTCTTTAAGTCCAAAGTCAAGAGTCAAGTTACTGTTGGCTGATACTGTTTTTCAAAAGAGAACCCTATTCAAAGTTCAGCTATGTAATTATGAAAGATCATTAAAGTTATTAGTTAATAGTTCTGTGTGATATCACCCAAAACATCCACTACTACTTTGAAATGCAAATCAGTTTTTACAACATTCTGAAGCTTTGAGTCTTCCCAAAAGTGCTTCACAAGAATGTACAGTGCTCTGTAGCTTTTAAATTGAAAAACTATAATTAAAAAAATAAAAAACAACCCAATGCTATCCTAGAATGCAGTGCAATCCTAAAAATAATCTATAGGAATGTGTCAAATCGTGCATGTATTACATATTTTTTCACTTCTCCCTCTCCCTCAGTTTAATTTTGAAGCTTTTAGAGCTGAAAGCAAGAAAGCATTTGACCGTAGTCCTTTCCATGTCCCGTCTGATGCTCCAGTATGGTATCGGACATAGCTTTAGCCAGAAAAGGCAAGAGTCTCAAGATCTGTTGCTGTCATTAGCTGCATTATTATCACTTGATGCCCTGACTTGGTAGTTTCAGTATCACCTTTCCTATCCATTTTCTCAGCCTTTCAGACAAAAAAGAACACCACAGTAGATCATATCAGAGATGACAATTTTGCCTGATGGTCACTTAATAATTTACATTTTAAAAAACCCTTTACAAAAACCTACTGTATTCAATAAATATTCTAGGATTATATGTTGCATGACAAAAACAGACTTGTACTGATGATTCCCTTAAATGCTACCAGGTAATCCTGAGAACCAGGTGAACTACCTGTTTGAAAAGTGTTTGCTCAGTGCTACTTTAACCCGACCCAGTTCAGCCAGCACCAATTGCCTGGCTCGGTGCTGATTTGCTTGTAGCATTTCCAATTTTACTTTGATTTAATGTAATAAATTCCTTTAATTATTAAATCAACTAATTAATTTATAACACTGGTTTGACCCTGACTGGACACTGGGTGCCCACTGAGTCTGTTCTATCACTACCCTCTTGAACAGCACAGGGTAGAAAAAAATATAAAAAATGGT